CCAGCTCCCGTCCTTCCACCGAAGCCGGCCGTCGATTTTGACATAGAGGAATAGGAATCCGTTCGCTTCGTCCTGGGTGAGGGAGGTGCAGAGGTAAGGGGCGATGGGGATGAAGGACCCGGAGAGATAAGGAGACCAGACGTCGATGTCCTTATGACCTTGGTACAGGCCGGGGATGCTGTATGCCGGAGTGATCTGCTGATTCTTGTAGGCTGCGTAGATATCCAGACGATCGTAGTAGATGCCGACCCTTTCGTTAGGGTTTCGGGAGGAGATGGTGATTTGGATGGTGGAGGAGAGGAGATTTGGCGCGGATAGGTTGAATCCGAGAACCCTGGCGTCTTGTAAGTAGAATTGGGGTTTGGTGGGCCGGAGGACGAGCCAGACGATGAGGATTGCGAGGAGGATGAGGATTATGAAGAGGACGATGGCATAAATAATTCGCCGGATTATGCGGCGGCGCTTGCAGGAGTCGTAGCTGTCGCACTCCTTCATTGCCTTGGAAGACAGACGTCGGCAAGGTAGGGTTGAGGAGGTTGGTGGAGATGATTTGGTGCTTGGTTTGGAGGAAGGAGTGGATTGCGGATTGAGCTCAGCAGAGGGGAAGAGGAAGAAGGCCGGCTTGTGCTGTAGAATGGAGGCGAAAGGTAGTACATATAGTTCGTTATGCTGCTTCGCGCGGTGCAGTGGACCGGAATCTTACAAGGAATTTAAGGAATTTATTTATTTATTTTATGTTTTTTTAAATATTTTATCTATAATAAAAGTAAAAGCATTATTGGTTGTTAGTAGGCTATGGAGAGATTGTTACTTGAGGAAAATAAAAGTAATTGCTAACACAATTTTATGGATCATATAGTTGTTATATAATAAATGATAAATGATTATTTGGTAAAAAAAAGTGAAATTATTTGTTATAATAAATCCAATAGGATGGATTTGATTATTACAAAAATTGGAAGTATAGAAGTCTGTTCTCCTCATTAATTAAGAAATATGATATTACAAAAACTGGCAATTACGACTTTATATAGAAGTTAGGTTACATAATTCATAATTGGGCTATAAGAACTGTAATTGGTGGCTACAATAGCTGTAATTGACTGTGAAAGTTATAATTTGTGACTATAATAGTCATAGTCAGCTACAAAAGCTGAATTTGATGACTATAACAATCTTAGTTTGCTACAACAGTTGCTGGTGGTGACATAAATGGTTTGTGATCGTTCACTTATATGCAAGAGAATTAATTGGTCGAATATTGATGTATGATGATGTTGATGGTTGGTTGTTGGCGTTAGTCAATGGATAGTGTTGAACATTTTCAAGAATGAAAGCCAGCAGTGGTTGGTAAGTCGGTAACCGATGTTTAACAATGGTGAAAATAAATGTTGGAATGAATTGATGAACAACGAGCATTTGCATTGCTTAACGAATAATGTTGAGCACAACAACAATGGTGATTACTCATGCTTAGGTGTTCAAACCAAGCCTTGATAATTTCTTAAGATTCTTTTTAATGAAAATGGCAAATTAATAAGTTTATGATGAAGAAATTACGCACATTTCTATTGAAATAAAGACAATCTATTGAATATTCTTAATTGATCCAACTAAATCATTTGAAATTTTTGTAGATATTTGTATCTTGATAATCTTAGAATTGAGTAATCATTCGCTGTCAAATTTGTCTCGATGATGCTCTTATTTTGAATATAATCATATAAAATTCGTGGGACATACAAACCCTTGAGTACCCTAACAAAATTTTCAACTATGATTCAAAGAGTTTGATTGAACTTGATTTGAAACTTGATCGAGTTTATCTCATCTAATCATATTGTCTTTACTACAAAAGCTCTAAACTTTTCTTGCTTAATCATGCTTAGCTAATCTAAGTTTGAGATAAAATCAATATTTAAGAAAAAAAATATATTTGATTTGATAATAATTACCCTTTAATGACATTTTACTTCTATTTTACTCGCTTCTAAATCACAATTTTCTAATAAATCAAAGCATTAATGTCCACTAAAAGCTAATAAAAAAATTATAATTAAATAATGAATAAAGTTATAAAATTAATATTGTTTAAGATGCATTGAAAGGGCAAAAATGAAAACATTAAGTTAATTGACTAAACTTTAATGCGAGTAATGAGTAGCATTGGTACTCACCCAACGTACTAAATGGTAGATTGGACCTTATAATTTTAAGGATTTTGAGGACTTTCACTTACATAACTAATACTTAAATTTTGATATATTTTATGTGAAGTAAAAGTTTAGATCATATTTTGGAAATAAATACTAAAACACATGCCACGTGTCTTGTTCATGGATTACATGGACTTCTATCATAACACATTTATCATGATTTTTTCATTCTATAAAATTGTGTCATCTATAACAATAGAAATATTATCGTATCATGTACTTAAGGGTTTGTTTGGGGCAATTACCGCTTATTAATAAGTTTCTTAAAAATAATTTTTTTATTAGGTGCGGTGGAGGCTGGTTTTTTTTTTTTTTTTTGAAAAGTCAGACATGAGTTAGAAAGCTATCACCGCACCTAGTCAGGAACAGCGTGAAAACGCTGATTTCAGCAGTTTGAAAATGATGATTTTTGAGTAAGCTGTCAAAACGCAGTTTACCAAAGCAGCCCTGGGTGCGTTTTCAAAATGCATGGCAACAAATAAGTTACCCGAAACGGGACCCAAGTAAAACTTCTCCATCGGAACTCCTGAAACCGAGCTCACTTGCTAAAATGCTCAAACCAAGCCCCCTTGTCATAGTGGCAGAACCGAATCAATCTGTCCAAGTGATCTAATCAAGTCCATTTGTCGAAATGGTAAGACCGGCTCGGTGCAAACTAGCTACCATAAAAGGTTATGATTACATTAGAGTAACTACGTTCGTTCTTGTTTATGACTGATGTCTAACACCTATATTTCAATTTTTTCATTAATATACCGAGGATAAGCGTACGATACATGATATAATTTTACAATTTTTTAAACAATATAAATTATTTTTTTATTAACTAAAATTATTCATAAAAATAATTACTTTGGTTGAATTGTACGGCCCAATGTACCGAGGATAAGCGTACGATACATGATATAATTTTATAATTTTTTAAACAATATAAATTATTTTTTTATTAAATAAAATTATTCATAAAACATAATTACTTGGTTGAATTGTACGGCCCAATGTGAATACTGATGTGCGGTCTCATAAAATAGACTTGTACGATGTCTAAATGTAGTTTAAAGTGTAACCGAGTTGTTGACTGAAAATGTTAACACGAGTCTTCTTCTTCTTCTTCCAAGCTATACCGACACGGAAAGTCAATTGGAATAATGTGAATCATGTGATATTGTCCGGACACGTAGCCTTCAATATTAATATAATATATTAATAATTAATTTAAATTTATATTGTGCTTGTTTGAAAATTAATTAATTACATACCACACAATTTCTATGTATATTAATATGAGACACCTAAAACTTTTTTTATTTACAGCACTTTGATGTCATGAACTCTTGAATGAAAATAGGGAATTTAATTTTAAAATAGTTAATGTTTAATACATTTAGGACGCTTTTAAAATGTATTAAACAATACGTCCTGACATCGATGTCGTCTGTACGTGTAGGTGAAAGATGACGCTTTTAAAGATGAAAGGATATGCGTCATTGCTGGTAATGATGATCATCTTTAGTAATTGTGTCTCTCTAGTTAGACTGGACCATGTTCATATGGGTGAAAGATACGAGTTCAACCACTTTGGTAGAAGGTTTGACATCAGTCACTTCGACGAGTAAGCTCAGTTCAACCACTTCATAATGTATGCTCAGTTCAGCCACTTCGAAAGGTGAGCTCAAAAATGTGTAAGAAATCTTACGTAGCTGTATTTGTGTATAAAGCTAATAACAATGATTTTTTTGATGTAATATTAAAATTTTGAGTGTTATGCATACAAATATAATAGTTTAGGAAGTTAAATATTTAAAATCATAAGAATTGTGTAGTTTGTTTAGAAATACAAGTTTAATGGTTAGATGTGTAAATATGTAAGATTTTGGGAATGTATATAAATCCCTCTATATCAATTTATAAACAGAATAAATTTTAGATATAATGTTTACATAACAAGAGGGAGTTTAAAATTAATACTTATCATCATCATGATTATGAAATAATTCTCAGTGCAAATTAGACGTGTTTAGATAAGATAATTTTTTATTTGAAGCAAATATTAGTTATATAATATGGAACAATGTAGCTGGGGCCCAGCTATACAGCCCAGTTAATTTGGATCTTGCTTTCAAATTTAAAGTTAAGGTCCAAAAATAAAAAAATAAAATAAGATAAATTTATAAAATAAAGCCGTTTTGATTTTTTTTTTAATTAATAGTTTTATTTTATTCTGTTAAAATTTAGATTTGAAATAAACATATTAAGAATATTTAAAACATCAATTTGTTAAAATTTAGATTTATTAATTATTTTTTAATAAAAAATAAAAAATGATCACAAACAAGACATTAGACCATTCAAACACATATGGGTCAAAATTTTTATTGAAGTAAATATTAAAAAAAAATTATGATATAACAAAAAATTGATTTGTTAGTGTCATGATTTCATGTTAACTTAAAATTGAATTTTTAATTAATTTTATTTAGTGATGCGTGCTAAAAAATTCGGGGCGGTAGAGTAACAAATTATTGTCTTAGCGTTGTACGAAAGTTCAGCACACACGCAGATGAAATAGAAAAAAAATGGTGATGACTCTAGAAGTTTTTACGTGGAAAGGGGTCTGGCCTAATTGCCGAAATCCACTATTGATTGATGATTACAAAAATCTCTTGTCCCACAGACAAGAAAGAGTAACTATCTTTTTCAAGGTGCAACGTCGACTGACGGCGTCTGGTTGGTGGTGAACGATGACGGTATGTGAATGTTGGCGACGGTCGACGGTGGTTGATGGTGGTCGACAGAGATCGACGACGGTCGGTGGTGGTCGTCTGAGGTCGGTGGTGGTCATCGGCGGTCGACGGTAGGTCGATGAAGATGGTCGGCGATGCTCGTCAACGGAGGTCGGCGGTGGTCGACGACGATTGGTAGTAATGTTGAGCTGCAGCTTCTCCCCAAGACCTCAGGCTCTCCCTTAATGAGAGGGATGGGGCTCTATTTATAGTGTTATGTGTGCAATTAATGCAGGAATATGAACCATTTTGATCGGACAGTACAGAGAGCTTCCCTATATCATACGATGTTTAATGGACATTTGAGTTTCTTAATGATGTCAGAATTAAGTGATCTTGGACGTTGCTGTTTGTGGAGCGTCTCGATTTGAGTATAAACTTCTCATATGTGACAGTCGTTTAACTTTTCAAATGTATTCATAAATTTTCCGACTGTGGTTTAAAGACTTTTGACTTGATTTGGGCTTGATTTGACTCGGATTGGGCTAGTTTTTATATCATTAGGTCCGTCTCATCGAACCGGTCAGTTTGACTATAAGTTTGCTGAAATCGGAGCTCTGGATGACTTTTTATCAAGATTTGAATGTTTCTTGCTTAAAATATCATCTCGAGATTCATGTCATGCCTTAAGATTCGTATTG